TATAACAATAACATTTAAAATGAGAATACTATTTACAGAAAGTGAGAGAAGAATTATTGGTTTTTGTTTATTATTTTTACATATTATTATGTGTTTCGTTTATTCTGTAATTCTACTTAATCGTCATAATCAAATCGAATACGTGGAAATGAATTCTCTCATTGGTTTAAACCTTGAAAATACAGAAATTTTCGCTACAATTCTAACACACATTAGCATTATTTTACATATATCCGGAGCTTTGATAAGTTCGAATTATAGTAACGCATGGAACAGATGGATATTTCTGAATTATTTCGGCTATTGGATCCTATTTTATTTGATGTTCTTCATGAGCGAAGTTGTGTTTTTACTTATACTAATATCTCACTTTTGGGAGTTGAAGCCTCCGTGGGAATTCGATATAATCCCATCAATGAAAAAATATAGATTATCTGAAGATATAAAAGTCATGTTAGATAAATTACAGATTAATTTGAAGTGTTGTGGTGGTAAAGGAATCGGAGATTGGATGGATATAGCTTGGATTCCTCGACAAGTTATTATTCAAAGAACTGGCATCGAGTAAGATATCTTGATACTAATTTTAACATTTAACTGTATTACTGTATTTATAAAATATATGTTTTCAGAAACAAGTTAACTGCAGAATGGGTACCTGAAAGTTGCTGTAATTTAACATTTGATGGTCCATGCTATCCAAAATTTGTTTTTAAAGAAAGAAAAGGAATAACGTACTATGATACTATAGAAATGTTCAATAGTAAAGGTTGTAATGATGTTTTACCTCAATATCTACTTCTTCTTACGAAGAAAATAATATGGTTTATAGTCGTAATAATGACAATACAGGTAATTTTAAATAAAAATTAGTAAAAGGAATAATTTAATATTTTATTGGATTAATCCAACAAAATATTAATCCAATCCAATAATTAATCCAATAAAATATTAAATTATTCCTTTTACTAATTTTTATTTAAAATTACCTGTATTGTCATTATTACGACTATAAACCATATTATTTTCTTCGTAAGAAGAAGTAGATATTGAGGTAAAACATCATTACAACCTTTACTATTGAACATTTCTATAGTATCATAGTACGTTATTCCTTTTCTTTCTTTAAAAACAAATTTTGGATAGCATGGACCATCAAATGTTAAATTACAGCAACTTTCAGGTACCCATTCTGCAGTTAACTTGTTTCTGAAAACATATATTTTATAAATACAGTAATACAGTTAAATGTTAAAATTAGTATCAAGATATCTTACTCGATGCCAGTTCTTTGAATAATAACTTGTCGAGGAATCCAAGCTATATCCATCCAATCTCCGATTCCTTTACCACCACAACACTTCAAATTAATCTGTAATTTATCTAACATGACTTTTATATCTTCAGATAATCTATATTTTTTCATTGATGGGATTATATCGAATTCCCACGGAGGCTTCAACTCCCAAAAGTGAGATATTAGTATAAGTAAAAACACAACTTCGCTCATGAAGAACATCAAATAAAATAGGATCCAATAGCCGAAATAATTCAGAAATATCCATCTGTTCCATGCGTTACTATAATTCGAACTTATCAAAGCTCCGGATATATGTAAAATAATGCTAATGTGTGTTAGAATTGTAGCGAAAATTTCTGTATTTTCAAGGTTTAAACCAATGAGAGAATTCATTTCCACGTATTCGATTTGATTATGACGATTAAGTAGAATTACAGAATAAACGAAACACATAATAATATGTAAAAATAATAAACAAAAACCAATAATTCTTCTCTCACTTTCTGTAAATAGTATTCTCATTTTAAATGTTATTGTTATA